ACATCTGGTCTTTTTTAAGTATCAATTTTTGATAATTTGAGATAATTTTTATTTTAACTTATTGATAATTTTCTTTTAAACATGCTTATATTAAATTTTTTTTATCTTATTTACTTTGATTTAGTTTATTTATGCCTCTATAAAGTAAATAAAAGTTTCTTCTATAAAAGGCAATATTAAGACTAAACTTTTCACTATCTTTTTTATAATTTATCATTATTTTTCTATTATATCTTTCTATTAGGCTCTTTTATAATAATATCTATATTTTTATTTTTAACCATATACTTGTGTTATTACATGACAATAGATCGATCAGTCTTAAGTTTGTATGGTTTTATATTTGTGATAGTAGATTATTTTATGAAGATGGCAGATTTTTTACCATGTACAAAATCTATCAAAGGTGAAGAAACAACTAAGCTTTTCTTGATAACATCTATCGCTATCATAGATTATCTAAGGATATTATATTGAATAAGAGGACTCAATTTTTATTAAGATTTTGGAGAATCCTTTTTAAAATTTTAAAAGTGAATATAAAGCTTTTTTTAGCTTTTTATCTTCAAAGTGATGGACAAAAAAAGCCTGTTAATCAAGTTTTGGAGTAGTATTTAAGATGTACCATCAATTATCATCAAGATGATTGAACAACTATTTACCATTGGCAAAGTTTGCTTATAATAATAGGATACATTCTTCTATACAAAAAATATCTTTCTTTATTAATTATGGTTATCATCTATTATTTGATGTTTTTGACTTTTCAAAAATTGATAACCTTGGAGCAAAAGATTTGGCAAATCATTTATCTGAGCTGTATAGAATAATGAAGGCATAATTAAAAGAAGTTCAAAAATGAAAAAAAACCAACATGGATGCCTATTGTAAGGAGCAACCTTAATTTTACATTAGCTACAAGATATGATTACTTTGTCACAATATTAAGACTAATTATCTTTGTGATAAATTGAATTATTGTAGATTTGTTCCATTTTTTTATTTAAGGACAAGTCAATTATGTTGCTTATTGATTATATCTATTGGAGTCTATAAAATCTATTTCATATTCCATGTGTCTCTTCTTGAATCATATAAGAGAGTAAATATCTCAAAAAAAAGACAAATGCCACTTTTTCTTATAAAAATAGATAATAATCAAAGTAAAAGAAGTTTTACATTCAAGACAACACCAAAATTGGTTGAAATATCTTATTCATTGACATAGATATGATATTAGTCAATGTACATAAAAGCCAATAAAAAAATCTTACAAATGCAGCAAAGAGGGTTAATACTTTTTATCAATGACATCCATCAAAATTAAGATGAAAAATAAAAAATCTTTGCTATAAAAGAAATAAGATTCAAAAAAGATAAAATTCTATTTTCTATCATTTTTTGTATTTTTTTTTATATTTGTGATACTAATGAGATAGAAAACCAATAAATAGCTGATTTAATTTAAGAACTATTGTTTGTTGAATTGTTGGATGAGATATTGCAATTGTCACAACTTTCAAGAAAGTGTAATTAAGATAAAGATCTTCAAGAATGACATGTCTTTCCTCAAATAAATGGTAAGATATAATGTATTTGATATCATAACTTTAAAAAAACTTATGATATTTGATGATTTATTAGAAGTAAGAACAAATCTTGATTGTGTTTCAAATATTTTATTTGAAAGAAATTATGAAGGCCTCAACAACAATTAAATAATAAAGTGGTCTTTCTAGTTAGTATGAAATACTATTGATGGTTGACAATACCTATCAACTATCTTCAAAGAAAACAAAGATCCAAATATGTAACAAAAATAATTAATTGCATCTTAAATTTTGCCAACATATAATAACCACTCATCATAGAATTCATTTCTAAAAGAAAAAATAATGTCATAGACATATATATTTATTCCAATAATTACTTATATGATTAAATAGAAGAAGGTAAAAATAAATTAATTTCATAATATCTTTTTGAAAAGCTTCTTAGAAGCTTTATAGACATTGCTTTGACTTTAAATTTTTTTTAATTGATTAGTAGATTAGAAATTTGGTCAACAAGTTAGCTACATATTACATGTATTGGTAGCTTGTGGAACAAGCTAACTATGTGATACACATATAAAAAACTTATCTTATAAATTAAGACATATATCTTGCAAAGTCAACATGTGTTGGAGGTCCTATTGAACATTGCCATATAGCTCTTAATTAAATAGAATATATGGAGGTAAGACTAAAGCCTTATTTTATCTTGTCAATATCTTTCTAGTTTTTAGTCTTATTTCAAGACTTTTTAATCTTCTTGTCTTTGACAATAGTCATTTTAGTTCAATATATTACCACCTTTGAATGATTCTTCAATCTTTTTGAGTAATATAAGAGTATATTAATATTTTGATTCTCTAAGATTCATGCCTTTGACGAAGTTATAAATTTGTAATTTATATTCATTATTCTTTATAAAAATCTATATTATTATATATTATTAATTTAATCAATATTTATTCTTTAGAATCATAATTAAAATTATTTTTTTAGCTTTAAGATTCATCTTTGAAATTTAGGTTGTAAAAATATTTTTTTGAATTCTCATCAATAATATTATTTTTAAAATTTAGAATTTATAATCTATTTTTATAGTTGATGGTTTAGGATTTTATCTTGAAACTAGAATTAATTTTTTTTTATAATTGCTATGGTTAGAATTAAAATTTAAATTTTTTTTCTTTAATTATTTTAATTAAAATCCATGATTTATATTCTATTTGATAGTTGATTCAAATAATAGATTTAGATATTTTTTTAGAATTTAGAATTTAGAATTGGTATTAAGATAATTATAATAGAAGACTGTATATTTGCATATAAAACTCTTAGTACCTATAAAAATCATAAACTATTTTTTAAAATTTTTAATTTGCATAAAATTTTTAAAAATAATTATATTTAATAATTAATAACCATCTTTATTTAGAAACTTTATTTCTTATGCTGTTTAAATAAAATAATACTTTTAAATCTTGTATTGTAAGAAAAGATGTTTCCAAAGTTAAAACCACTTCAAGATGTTTCTATACATAATAATTCATAAATTAGCTATGTAAATAAGGTCTTTTTCTTCTTAATCAAATATAAAAAAATACTTAGTGGAATTAAAGATTCCAACTTATGGAATTGGAGCAAGAAAATACTTAAAAACTTTGATTTTTATTCTCTTTAAAAAAACATAGATGGTACAAGATCATGCATGCTTTGTTTATCTAATAGCTTTTAGAAAAAATGCACTCAAAAAAAAAACAACAAAATAGATGCACAAAAAAAAAAAAAACAAAACAAAACAAAACAAATCAAAACAAAAACAAAAACAAACAAACAAAACATAGAAAAAAGAAAAGAAAATTAGCTCTTCAAATCCCTTTGATTATGCTTTGTCTTCCCTTTTTTCCAAACATTATCATTCATTGTTTACTCCTATTCAAATCAAATTGGCTTAAAGTCTTTAATAAAAATTAGAGAACTAACAAGATATATTTTTCTAGAAATTTTATGAAAGTCACATGACTTTGTTGATAAAGAAATTCATGTACAAAACTAAAATTAGCTTCACTACTTTTCTACTTGGAGCCAAAGTAGTACTTTCTGTAAGATCCTCGGTCTTACATAGCAATAAATAAACTTCAATTGTTTCAAAAAAAATAAAATAAGATAAGTAGGATCACCTTAAACACCATTGACACAATATTTTGACTTAAGAGCATTGTTTTAAGAGTGGTTGAAGAAATCAGTTCTTCAACTAACTCATTTGACTCACAAATAAATAATGCCAGGTAAGATGGTTTGGTTTCTTTCCTGGCATTATTTATTTTTTTACAACAAGAGTTATGGAAACCATACCACGAACTTGAACTAATCAACAATTAAACAGGGTTAGAATAATCAAGCTTTCATTGAATCAGCATAATCACCTGATTTTTCCAAGTCCTTAAATGCACCAACGACTTCCTGATTCTTGGCTACCTGGTGCGTTACACACAGAAAAGAGTAACCCTTCAGTTGACATTCTGCTGAGATTCTCAAATAATAAACTCCCAATCCATGAAACCAACCAACCAACCAACTCCATCAAATTCTAGATTACCACCGATCTGCATTAAAGAGTGTTATACAACACAGAATCATATGTTTGCACGTCTCCAATCCTGTGGAATGAATGGAAAAATTCTAGATGCCGTGGATGTTGTGCATGAAGAATGAGGGACTTTATCCTCTAGCCACTAATCCCAAGTGAAAGCATTGAGAGTTCACCCACGTCACCACTTCGCATTTTCTAGAAGAAGAGGAAGTAAAGCAGGGGCAGGATCAATAACCCAACTTCATTGCTATCGTCCTAACCTCCGACATGGGTAGAGCTAAGCTAGATGTAGAGTTCCAGGATGTGTCGAAAAATCCAGTCTAACTCTGATCATAGTACGATCAGTCTTATAAATGCACACAACTCAGGACAAGCTTAATTATCGATGTCAGGTGAGCTTTTCGTTAGAAGTGTCAATGGGTTCTGGATGATGTAAAGCTTAGATCATGGGACAGAAGTTACTGTTCAACACCTGCTCTCATTGTCCATGGAGGGGGATGTTGCAAAGAACTGGCTTTTAATGGGTCACGTATCTAGTTGCAATCGTCTTACCTCGGCGAAAGACGGGTGCTGGGAAGGTATTGGATTACAGCTGCCTGGTAGAAAAAGTGGTAACGATTATAAAAGTTGCAATGGAAATAGAAAAGAGAAAAATATGGGTTCAGAAAATGTAAATTTAATGTAGCTGGCGAAGCAGAATGGTGCAGTGACCCTATTACTTGACAGAGCGACAAGGGAAACGTTCTTACTCGCATTCAAGGTGGCTGTCTGTTTCTCATCCTTTGCTATTATGATGCCCACTTACTTCTGTGGTGAGCCTGGACATTTGGACCTTCCGCTCGCATGGTATTACGTACTCGGTGATTATGACGACTCTCACGTATGCAACATTATAACCTGTGTTGCCCCAGAGCTCCTCACATCTAGCGGGGAGGTGGGGGAGAAGAGAGGGAGGAACCCAGGGCGTCTTTTCCGCATAAGAGCGGAAAGCCTCCAGCTTAGATGCAACACGCGGAGAACAGCTGCTGCGGATCACATGCGGTGCTACTTTTACGTCCGCAGTGCGTAAAACTTTCTGCTGCAGTTCGCGTCACACGTATCTCGGAATTTCTTTTTTCTTGCTTCGGGTGTCTTACATCTATTTGTGCAGCACAAGCATGAGTGTTTCTGTGTCTCCGAGGCGCGCCAGCAGGATAGTGGAAGATGGTCCCAAGGGAGTAATGCGACGGGGTGTACTGGAGTGAAGTGCAGCTGGGTGGAGTGGCTGTGTCAGTGCACTTGTGCGGCTTGAGCTACTTTTAGCTACTTTCTGGTCGACGACGTTGACATCAAGAGGAGGAGGACTGGGGTAGATGGAAGGGACAGAGTCATGAGTTCTAGAGATGCGAGCTGCAGAAGTGTCACGGGATTTTGAAGGTAGGATTGGGCTTAAGTGTTTCTTGAGATGTGACAACATTATCTCATGTTCCACAGCGGGAAGGATAGCATTATTAATCCCGTTCAAATAAGCGATATGAAGCTCTACTCTTGTATCATGCAAAGATTAACTTAGTTCTCAACATTCGATGTCCGCTTTTGGGCAAGGAACCACTAGTTTGTAGGAGATTAAACCTTGATGGATAGAGGGTCTAATTGGCACATATTCAAGCTTTCATGAAAAAAGGGCGCAGAAATCAGAGTACTCTCACTTGGAAGGGCACTCTTGTGACGATATGAGATATCATTGGTGTTTGTCGTTGATAGTTCCCACATATAGTCACTCTTATTATGTACCCTTTCTGAAGCATCCTGTTTCACTTAGGTCGAAGGAATCACAAACAAGAACGAGCGAGCTCGTGCCTAATACAAGGTGAGGTCAAGATGGTTGTGGCGTGGAGCGCTGCAATCCCAGGCTTCAAACTAATTCTGCTCGTATCGCTAATATCGAATCTCCTGGCAAATGTCAATAGCGCAACACAGGTGAGCACTGCAACGAGTTCCCTATTCAAGATATAGTGTATTGTATGGACCATATCTGATTCAATCAATTCTAGCATGACAGCTTGTCAACGCTATGTGAACGCAGCCATATGTGGTGTACATGCGACCTTCTGAATCGGGATTGCTAGATATTGAATCAATCGCCGCTTCCCATAATGAGCTATTAGCTTCAGCCATGAACAGGTACCTACCTGAATCCTTCACCTTGGCCAACGGGCCTAGGTCGCGTTCCATTCTCTCACTTTACACGCACATGTTCACGTTCTATCAAACCAACAAAAAAAATGTGTGCTTTCTGAGTTCATAATTAGAATGAAGGCTTCACTTTCAGTTTCTTAACTATAATGTGTTGTATGTGTGTATGTGCGTGAATGCGCATCTCGTGAGCGTAGCGATGCGGATGCTGCGACATCGGCTATGCTGTATACTTACAAACACATCTTCAACGGGTTCTCTGCAACGATGACCGCCGATGGGGCAGCCGCTCTCGCAGGTATCTTTCCCTTCGCCGAAACAGACCAACTCAGTCGAAGTAGCCAAGAAGCATCCGTTGCGATTTCACTCCGTTTTCAAATAAGCTGCACAACTTCTGGGCAACTCTGAATGGCTCTAAACACCAACAGACCGCAAACATCCATGAACGCACCAAACCCAACGTGATTTGTTGACTGCAGCGTCGCCACAGGTGGTGTCGGTCATTCCAAGTCGACTGCGACAACTGCACACCACTCGGTCGTGGGAGTTCCTTGGGCTGGAGTTGGAGTCCGGCAAGATCCCCAAGGACTCGCTGTGGAAGAAAGCCAAGTTGGGAAAATCGATAGTGGTGGGCATCTTTGATTCTGGTATGGCACCGGAAACCACTCGCACATCTATCCCTTCACCTGCATGCCATGACTTTCCCTGTGGAAAACCAATGCTCCTCTAACTCCTGTTGAGCGTCACCTAAACCGAAAGTATGAGGAAGGCTAGTGCCACGCCTTCCACACCACTCCCTTGCGACCAGCACTTGACGGTGGAAACTTTGTGGTGGTAGGCATTTGGCCTGAGTCAGCGAGTTTCAGCGACGAGGGGGTAGGTCCTATCCCGGACAAATGGAAAGGAGAGTGTGTCCGGGGCGAGGACTTTGGTCCCGAAAACTGCAACAGGTACTGCATGGTTGGCAGTTTGTGGTGAATAGCCATACATCCCATTGAGGTTGTGCTTGAAAAGGCCATTGACTTGTGAGGGAATGTCCCCGTCACCGCGCAGTGTGCGAGCGAGGATGCGAGTGTTTTGCAGCAAGCAGCTGTACTGACCGAAGTGTGGAATGCTCAGAAAATTGATAGGCGCGAAGTATTACCTCAAGGGTTACGAGGCCCATATCGGATCCATCAATGCGACGGACTACAGATCACCCCGTGATATCGATGGACACGGCACCCACACGGCTTCCACTTCAGCTGGTAACTTCGTTGAAGGTAGGAAACCGAGAAGAGATGTGTGTGCAGATATTGACATTAAACGCGTAGGGTATTCTCATGTGCAGAGAGAATGTGCTTCAGCTTATGTACTGATTTCATGTTCGAGATAGGCAAACCAGATATCATTAGAGCTATTGATTGGTGTGCAGGAGCCAACACATTTAATCAGGCTTGGGGGACTGCCAAGGGGGGTGCGCCACACGCCCACATTGCAGCGTATAAGGTTTGTTGGCAGGGTGGTGGATGCGACGATTCGGATATCCTGGCAGCTATGGACGATGCTATAGCTGATGGAGTCGACGTGTTTTCAGCATCTCTTGGAAGCGATCCACCGCTTTATCCTTACTACTCGGATGCTATCGCTGTTGCCACCTTTCACGCCCAATACAAGGGAATCATCACAGTCTGTTCAGCTGGAAACGCTGGCCCAACTGCAGGCTCAGTTACGAACGTGGCTCCATGGATTGTTACCGTGGGTGCCAATAGCATTGACAGGAAATTCCCCTCCCATGTAGTCACAGGGAACAATGAAATATTCGATGTAAGTCCGTGCAACTGATTGTTTTTATCCCCGGGCGCTCTCTGAATCTTCTTTTAACTCATGCATAAAATTGTATCCCGCGGAAATGGCACCAAACTAACAAATATGTTATGTGCGTTCACTTCCACTACTTCCATTTACCAGAACTTGTGTAGAATTTGGTCTGGTGAAATTTCACCAGATTTGTATGAAAATGGTATTATAATGAATACATTATTCCTTCTTCTGTGAAAAACTTCGACTAGATCACGTTTGATGATTGATTTGAAATTCTAGTGTTTGTGGGTGATATGTATGTTCAGGGACAAAGCTCTACAAATGAGAAGCTTCCTGATGAATATTTTCCCCTCGTAGCCGGAGCTGATGCTGGACTATCGGGCGTTGAGATGCTGAGGTATCGTGGAACTATAGCAATCTATAGTTTCTGAAGCTCATCGTTGCATCAGCTTTCAATAATTAAAGATGTTAACTCCCCAATCTTCAGACAGATTGATCAAAGGGCTGACACTCTTGGTTGATCCAGTCAACAGCACTAATACATGACCCTGTCTGGCAGTGCATTGTGCATGAACAATACCTTAGATCCGGAGAAAGTGGCGGGCAAGATCGTGACTTGCATTCGGGGCGTGAATGGGCGAGTTGAAAAGGGTGGAATCGTGAAAGAGGCCGGGGGAACGGGTATGATCCTCGCGAACAATGCTGCGAGTGGGGAGGAGCTTTTAGCCGACCCTCATCTTCTGCCAGCCACCATGATTACGTACTCTGATGGCCTGAAGCTCTTGAGCTACATTAACAGTTCCAGGTTGGATCCTGAACCTTGCAATTGTCATCTTGGGATTTCTCTCCAATGTTGGATTTATCAAATCTTATCTTCCTGAGTTGATAAATTATCTGGTCGATAAGCCTATCGTAATGGTGACACAAAAGAGCCATCCGAGAAGATGTTCCGGTTCCTGCTGCCTCATGTGTCTGTCCCTCCATCTCCACTCAAATCTCATGCAACAGCACGTAGCTCAAGTCAGTTATTACACTAGAAGTTACCTTGGGTATCAGCGGATTTCAGGACGGATGGAGATAGCATAACACTCCAGAGTTTCAGAGTCTTTTGTGTTTTGGCAGACTTTCATGCGTGAACACTTAGGCTCAAACACATCTTAGTAAGATCCACTAAGTCTTCTTTAATGAAACAGCTCCAAAAAGGTTCAGAGAAGAAGCGATTGAATTCGTTGACGTGCATGTTCTCTTGTGCAGGTCACCGATGGCAAAGATCACGCCTGCATACACAAAATTGGGTGTAAAACCTGCTCCAGAGATGGCAGCATTTTCATCACAAGGTCCCAACACTCTCAATCCAGATATTCTCAAGGTATTCTCAACAGCTTGCATTGAATGTCTACAATTGTCTTTCAGTTCATAACTCATTGTCAAGTAAAGGACGCGGATAATTTTTTTAGACTCGTATAATGTCTCTTCACCTTCTGAAAACCTCAAACCCAACCATCCCAAGCTCATGAAGAGACTAAGAATTAACCATCCATGTGTGCATAATTTGTGTGTCCAGCCGGATGTGACGGCTCCAGGGTTGAACATTCTCGCAGCTTGGACGGGTGCCGAGTCTCCAACAGGGTTAGCTTTTGACCCTCGCCGAGTTAAGTACAATATCATCTCCGGAACCTCGATGTCTGCTCCCCACGTATCCGGCGTGGCTGCTCTTCTAAAAGCAAGACATCCGAACTGGAGCCCTGCTGCCATTAAGTCAGCGCTTATTACCACAGGTTAGATTTATATCGCTTATCATTCGACATGTCACATACGATCAAGTTCACCTTAAAAACTTCATCAGTTCTGTAATTCGTTTGTTTCCTGCATGTTCGCAGCAACACAAATCGATAACACGGGTCACCTGGTCAGAAATGGTTCCATGAAGATTGCCACACCTTTCAGTTATGGTGGGGGCCAGATTAACCCAAATGCCGCTCATGATCCTGGATTGGTTTACGACCTTACCCCACTTGATTATACTCTATTCCTGTGCGCCATTGGGTACAACGGGACTTTCCTGCAAGTATTTACAATTGAGCCATTTACTTGCCCGTCTAAAGTCCCCTCTGTATCCGACCTGAACTACCCATCTATTACAATCAGTGACCTGTCGACACGGAGAGCTGTTCGAAGAACAGTCTTAAATGTTGGCAAAGCAAAGCAAACATACAATTTGACGGTGGTGGAGCCATTCGGCGTGCGGGTGGACATCAACCCAAAGCAGCTTGTCTTCAGCCGGAAGTATGAAAAGAAGACGTTCTCGGTCACATTTACGCCGAGAAATGTGACAACTAAAGGATATCAATTTGGTTCATTCACATGGAGCGACGGATACCATCGAGTCAGGAGCCCCCTCGCCATTCAAAATGTATTGTAATGAAAATTTCCTAGTCTTTGTACTCGGATTTTTATGAAGTTAGGAGTGAAATAAAGCAGCTGAATCGTCACGCTGCTGCTATCAAATTACATATGATGTCACATTAACTTTGCGAGCTGGAGTAAGTAATCATGAATGCTGTAATGTCTAGATTGAGTGAGGAATTCTGAGGTCTTTGATAAAGTTGTAATTGCCTGGCGGGGATAGCTGAAGCCAATGCCGCAAACAGTAAAGCAATTTACGATTCGAACAGCATATGTGTGACGCCAATACCAAAGATCTTGTTGGTCAATATGCTTGCTCTCGCTGCCACACAGGCCCCTCTAAACTATTCCCGACTGAAGCAAGAACTCCCTTTCAATTATCGAATCTCTAGGTGGTCAATTCAGTGCTAATTCTTTCAGTTTGTGGTCAGAAGGGAAAAAATCTCGATGTTTCTGGCGTTTTTGCACAGTAAGTTAAATAAGAGAATTGAGTCCGCAATGAAGTACCTACATTATTGCGATGCCATTTCTAAGAAGTATCAGAAAATGCTGTTGTTCAATGCAAAGTCCGAAGTACTAATTTTTTCAGGGTGAACCGTTTCTGATGCCAATTGTTTCACTCAGTCAGAAGCCCGGAATTTGAGACATAAATAACATGAAGTTGGCTTCAACATGTGCTGATGAGGGAACCTGCAGTTCAAAGCTCAAAACTGATTTCAAATCTCTGAGCTGATGTCAGCAGGTCAACACAAGTAAACACAGCATCTTCATTTTCAAATGCTCCAGAAAATGTAGTACGATGTATTCGTCATCTCTAAATCACTAAATGCACTGGATGGGGTTTATTGAAGGATGACACCTTCAATAACTTCATCTTACACAAAGCATACACGGAACCTGTAGAAGCGACATTTCTAGATATTGAATCAATCACCGCTTCCATAATGGGCTATAAATCTCAGTAATAATCAGATATCCACCAGAATCCTTCACTTGGCTCTTCGGCCCTTCACCGCGTTTCATTCTTTCACTTGACAAGCACATGTTCAAGTATAAACAAACAATCGAAATCAATGTGCGCTGTCTTTGTTCATAATTAGAATGAAGGCTTCACTTTCAGTTTCTTAGCTATAATGTGTTGTATGTGTGTATGTGCGTGAATGCGCGTCTTGTGAGCTTATCGATGCGGATGCTGCAACATCGGCTATGCTGTATACTTACAAACACGTCTTCAACGGGTTCTCTGCAACGATGACCGTCGATGGGGCAGCCGCTCTCCCAGGTATCTTTCCCTTCGCCGAAACAGACCAACCCAGTCGAAGTAGCCATGAAGCATCCGTTGCGATTTCACTCGGTTTTCAAATAAGCTGCACAACCTCTGGGCAACTCTGAATGGCTCAAAACACCAGCAGACTGTTGGAACATCAATCCCTACTTCATCATTGAATGAATATTGTATGGATGACCTGAGATCCGACATTTGTGCCGAATACTCAGATCTCTGTACACATGTACTTAAGCCTGCGCTAGCAGTCTTGCAGTAGGTAAGCCCCTTACTGTTCCGTTCTTTCATTTATTGTTCTCTCATGGTATCAGAGCGGGAGATCTCTCCTCTCTTTTCTTTGGATTTTGTTCTTTGTGCTCACTTACTTCCCTTGGTCATGCTAACCACTGTACTCGTCCAAACTTATTTTTCGATGATTTTTCTGACTTGGTTAAAGAATCCATTTTTTTCTCTTCAACACTTTCCATCTGTTCTCAATTTTTCTTTTTCGAGATCTCACAGTTTCTTACATTCTTTCCTTACTCAAACTACGAGGTCATATTTTTTCAGTCCAACAGCCGCTGGATAATCAATCGTTACTTAATTCTCGTTATATCATCAAGAGCATTGTGTTTTCTTTTTCTTTTTCATTTTCTTTTCTTTTCTTTCTTTCTTTCTTTCTTTCTTTCTTGATCAATATGAGCAATCTCGAAACCATCTGCTCAAGAAAAACCATGCTCACAGGTCCGAAAAATTACAAACATTGGGCTATCACTCTCCAGAGTATTTTTGAGAAAGAAGATCTCTGATATCTTATCAAACCACGAGTATTTCCTAGAAAGAAGATCTCTGAGATCTTGTCAAACCATAGCCATCACCTTCTGGGACATCCTCCATCAAACCCAGAGCCAAGATAGTGTCAGATCCAAATCAATTAGATCCTGAAGACTTGAAGACAAAAACGTAGAGCAAAAGCCATTATCCAGCTATCCTTAGTTCCAGATCTCCCCCACATCATCGACGTACTAGATCTACACGACAGATCTCCTTCACAACATCATTGAAATACCAAATCCACACGATGCTTGGCTAACTTTGAGCACCATATTCAACATGAACACCATATCCAATATCATGAATGTATTAAATCGTTGGAAAAATAATTGAATGAGAGATTATCAAGACATTGCAACATTCATGAAGCAGATAAGCAGATAAACGACACAATTAGTGACCTCAAAACCATCAAACAGATACCATCTAATGAAGTTTCAGTGCATCAAATTTTCTAGTAAATTTGATAAATTGGTGTTTCAAATCCAATCAGAGAAAGAAATTCTCAACTTACAAGAACTCTAGAATAGGCTCCATGTAGAAGAAACCAATGCTCTCTTATGGTGACCATGTGAAACCTCTGAAGCAGCATTGGTGATGTGTATATAAAATCTGTTTAACATGAAGTTTCACAGAAACATGTCTCCTTCTAGTGGGACTCAACATCTACAGTGGAACACTTTAGGAGGACTAATCCTTACTTGCTACATGTGTGACAAGATCAAGTATTCCTCAAGACATTGCTGGGCTCCAGCCTCAATGCCCTCTTTTACAAATCAATACACAAATAAGTCAAGGTCCTGTACCTCTTTACACAACAATAATCCACAATCCATTTTACAATTAGGCGTCAATGTAACCAAAGACCTTTTTAGCAAACAAGTTTTGTTCCATTCACATGAGAATAGATGTGGTCAACAAAACTACATACTTATAGCGACTCTGGATTTCTTTGGTAGATTAAAAAGTGGGATTTGAGAGCCAACTTGTAAAGAGATTCTTAAATGTTGGTTTTATATCAATTGAGTTAATATTCAATTTTTGGGGGATTTTCAAAGTTAATAATGTTCTTGGTTGATTTAGATTTTGAGAAATAAAACTATGTTTACACATTTGAAGGTTTCTTGAGTTCTGTGATATGTATATAGATAAATTTTGGATAAAGTGTTGATGTACTAATTATGAATTTTTGTACAAATTTTGAGATCAATCAAATAATTAGATCAAAGAGTGTAAAGGTTTTTGTGGGTTGAGGTATCAATAATTGGAATTTGAAGGTTAGTGAGTTTTTTTGAGATCTTTAGCAATTTGTCAATTGGATTGAAGTGAATTTTTTTTGTATGAAGACTAGACTTGATTTTCAACAATTTAAATGAATTTTGAGAGCAATTCAATAGTTCAAGAAGGAGATATTGGCATTGGAAATTCAACATTTAGATTGGAGTAGGAGGCTAGCCAACATATGAGCAGAATTTAGGATTGATCTTCTAATTGGTAAGTTTGATCTTCTTCAAATTTTTGTGTGCTTGTTGCCAACTTAGTTTTTGAGAGGTTTATAAAATCTTAAGCAATATCAATAATATAATCAATAGATATTGAGGTTCTAAATTGTCCTAAAGTTATGTTAATTTGATTAGAATTTGGTTAGGATTTAGGATTTAGAAATTGATTAGGATTTATTTAGGATTTAGGATTATTTAATATTATTTGGATTTAATTTAGAATTAAATTAAAGACTACTAGGATTTTAATTAGGATTAAATTGAGATTTCATTGGAATTTATTTAAGATATATTTAAGATTTTATTCTAACAATTTTTTTGAATTTCTTTAGAATTTCTTCATGCTTCTTTCATAATTTCTTCAAGATTTCTTTGAATTTTATTAAAGCTTGATTAGAATTTTTAAGATTTAATTAGAATTATTTAGGATTCTATTAGAATTAGAATTTTATTGTTGTAATTTTTTTTCTACCTTCTACAACCAAATGCTTGGTGCATTCTCAAGTAAGGCTTTACATAATATGACACTAAGCTACATCAAAATATCTTATTAATAAGTCAGATAACCTATATATATATTGTCTCCAATAAAATGTAATATTATATCAATCCAAAAACTACTCCATGTTGTCACAAAAGGATCATGAGATAAAAACAATGGTCTATACAAACTTGATTACTTCACAAACAAATCTAAGAGTTCACTCTCATATTTAGTATATACCAATAGTCATTCTAAAATTAACAGTCTCTCTACAAAAGACAAATCAATTTTATAGCATAAACAACTATTCACTTGAACTACCATAATCTCCAAGCATTCCAAAATTTAATTACAAGCATTTCAAAGTTTTTAATTTTAAGTCTCAGTTGTCATATATGTCATGATGTAAAATAGACTAAAACCAATATATCAAAACAATCACTCATGTAAGCATCTTCCTTATTCATTCTTATCTATATGGATGTCTACGGGCCTCTTCTTATAGAATCTCATGAATAAAATTGCTATTTCCTGATACTCACAGATGACTATAGTCATTTTTCTTAGATTTATTTTATAAAAAAAAAAATCAAAATATGAGCATGTTCTTGTGTTTTCACAACATGATTGAAAAACAAACCTCACATCATATTTTTTGTGTACAATCTAACTGCATAGGAGAATTTACATCCATAGAATTTCATTGGTATTCTCAAACGTATAGAATCCTATAACAATTGAGTATTATTTGAATATTCCAACAAAATATGGTACTCAAGAGAAAGAATTGCTATGTTCTTAATTAGGTTTGTGCTATGCTCATTGGTGGATATGTATCTACTTTTCTTTGAATAAAAACAATCTACATGGTTATACAATTTATGAATTCTAGTCCCACCGAGTCGAATGATGAAAAGACTCCTTACAAAGTATTCACATATAAGCAACCAAATCTCACCAAGATCAAGATTTTTTTGCTACGTTTGTATTGTACATCAAGTTTAAATACAAAGATAAAAACTAGAAGTCCGATCCACTCAAGGAATTGACCTACACTTAGATGATATCTCCATAGGCTGTAGAGTTTATTTACCTAATTTTTAAAAAAATCAAATTATATGCAATGTCTTATTTGACAAAGATAATTTTCTCACTAAGGAATCTAAATCTCAAATCAATGCCTTTTG